TGAGTCCGCTGATCTTTCTGTTATACTTACTGTTTTTTTATTCTTGGATTTTATTTATCTATCCACGCGACTCTTCATCTTAATCTTTTTCAACTAGGCTATCTTGACGAGACCCTCCTCGATCGGATCCCTGGTTCGCATGCAAGTCGCATGTCTCTTCTTGGGGAAGTAAACTGGATCTTCACAGCTGTGACTGACACAATTGCCTGGTGTAGCCTCCCTGTTGATCTCTTTCAACGTCTTTTTAGACAGGATTTGCTAGTCGCCTCATTGATGCGCAACTTTATGCTGGCTGAACGCGTGATGAAAGCCTACGGGTGTCAGCCTCAGTCAGCGCCAGTTCTGCCTTGCACACACCGTCACTATATGTGGTAAGCTATCACCAAGTAATTGTTGTTTCTATGAGTCAAATGCGTATCAAGCATCTAGAATCACCTTCACAATATGAATACACTTTTATCTAGAAAGTGTACGCTCTAATACTCGAGTTTGCTTTCCGTTAAGGATACTGATGAGACCAAATTGAGGTCGAAACTATAGCCTAGTCCAGTCTGGATAAGAATATCATTAAGAAAAAATGCCATGGTCATTAAAACCAGCTTATAAACTAAACTTAAGTAGTGTAGTAGATTGTTATAGCAAATTTGCTTTATCGACAATCTCATTAAAGAATGGGAAATAGGAAAATTCTTCTCCTTCCTTGGAATTCATATTTGTACTATGACTTAAGGGAACTCGTGGCAATGTGGCGTAGTGGTTAACTTGTCGATATCATACGTTGCACCACCACATTCTGGAATCGTGTCCCGTTGGGGTATACTGATGAGACCTAAGCAAGTTCGAAACTTAGTCCAGTTCAGTCTGGATAAGAATATCTATTTCAAAGCAACTCTATGCAAAATTCAATGAAATAGTAACACCTACTTATGGCATCGTAAGAAAATCCAACCATAACTACATTCCTTTCTTTAAAGTCATTTAAGTTAAAAATCTCAAAAATCTGCCGTCGGGTTTGCAGTTAGAGGTTATAATAGAATCTAAAAGAAAAGATTACGCTAAAAGTCTATAGCTTGGTCAAAAAACGAACTTCACCTTTCTCTTTGTAAAGTCGTAATGTGATGTTATTACTGGCGTGGCTCACTGATGATGCCTACAGGGAAACTATCAGGGCTACAGTCCGATACTTGAAATTTTCGTGGATACTCTAGCAAAGAACTCCGGACAAATCGCATTTATACAACTCTTTCCTAAAGCCATTAAGTTGAGAAAACTTGATCAAACCATTTCTAATTACTACTTTAATCTCGTCTTAGTGTTATCAATTTACTCAGCAGGAGTATCCCTTTGAATGCCACGTTCGGGAATCTATGCGCATATCCCATAGATTCAGACAATTTAATAAAAATAACTCCGATTTATTCGCCTATCTTCATACCCTTTGTGGTAATTGACTTAAGTTATAGCTTTCTTTCATACTATGAATGTTATTTAATTCTTTAACGTCATTGTAGATACGAAGAGTAACTGGGTCTCGATGAATCTCCTGAGAGGAGGAGACCTTCATTTAGTATGAAAGTGCATGAAGTTTACATCTCATTATTTTAACCATACTTACTTACGGACTTATGCAGTCTCGGCCAGAGCCTTTTCTTTGGTCATTAAGCCTTGATGGCTAGAATCTGACATTAGCTTTGTTCCTGATCACTCTGATTTAGGACCGGTATTGCGAATAGACGTTAGTGCGCGTAAACACATAACTCTAGCAAAATTATTAAGACCAATATGAAAGAAAATTAGCCAAAACTTCCTATATCTATCTATACCTATTCATTTTAGTTTTTAGTTATGACTATACATAGTAGGTAAGATAAAGCCGGATAGTCCTCCTGACCTAGTTTTGGCGTGAGACTTTTACAAGAATAAGTTACAGCTCTGATAATGTTCATCATTTGATGGAAGAACGCTCAGCTTATTTTTACATGAAGCGAGGGAGGATGTCTTGTGGACTGCATCAATCTGAACGTCGTATTAAGGCCAAATAGCTGCAGTGCAACAGGAATCAGCCGTCACCTTATGGTGAGATAAACCTACGAATACCTTCTTGCGCATTTTCTTACGAAATGAAAGTCTCTCCAACAATCTTTAAAGTCAATTTGAGAAAATCGCTCTTAATTCTACTATCCCAAACTATAAAAA